TATTTGTATTCTGATACAAAAAATATGTATTTTTTCTCAAATTTTAATTTCTGACATATATTTTTATATGTCTACATTCATACACATATATGTATGCCATACATAATAGAGGAGCATACATATATATATATACATATGCATAGATGTACACGGTATTATGTGGCAGACAACTTGTATGTTGTATGTTTGGAGTTAATTAAAATATTCATACTATAATCTTACTCTGCTAAAGAATCCAAAATGATGTTCTTACTCCTCTTATTAGAGCCTGTAGTGGAAATTTTTTTTCTTATCTTTTCCAATTTCTTAAAACCACCTGCATTCTTTGGTTTCTGGCTTCTTCCTCCATCCAAATCTCTCTGTGTCTGATACTGAATCTTCTGTTTCTTTTGTTCATAAGACCCCTTGAGATTTCATTACACTACCTGGATAATCCAGGATAATCTTCCCATCTCAAGGTTCTTACTTAGATTACATTTGCAAATTCCTTTTTGGTGCATAAGGTAATGTATTTATAGGTTAGAGGGATTAGGGTGTGAACATCTTGGGGGTGACAGTGGGTAGGAGAGGTAGAGGGGGATTGATTCTTACCACACCTGAATAAAATAAGGTTAACTTTTTTGCTTGCATTTTATGGCAAATTTTAAAGTAAATTCTTTCTTTAGTCCTCTATGAATGAGGTTTCTAATTTAAAGATCCAAGAGGAAGTTGTGTGGAGTACACTTGAGATCAAACATGTCTTTGAAGTGAGTGTTCCTGGAGTACACTTGAGATCAAACATGTCTTTGAAATGAGTATTCTTTGAAATGAGAGAGACATCGTTTTAAATGGAGAGATGAAGGGGGCAGATAGGCCAAGGTTAGATGGGCAATAGAGATGTATATGGGGCTGACGAAAGCAGTCTCCACAAAGCTACTGAGAAAAACCTTTCTTACCACTAACATTTAAATAATTTGCCAATAAAGAATTGGTAAACATGGCCTTATGGGAGAGACAGCTTTGGATTGGATAAAAGGGGAAAGACAACTGAATTAGTTTAAAAAGTAATCTTGCTTTAAAGAGTATAATGTCGTATGTAAACATGGAGATTGGGAAAATTTGAGAGTATGAAACTGGACATTTTTACTTGCTGAAAGAGAAATCATATACAGGGGAGTAAGATTAAACTGGCTAGTAATAATAGGACCTACCTTCACTTAATGCCAGGAGTGTGGAAGGGCAGAGTCTCAAAATCTATAATAAACTAAAACAGTGTTTCAAGGTAAGTTAGAAACCATAGACAGTTCAATCTTGGAGATGAGTGGATACTTTTATCTTCATAAATTACTAGCCCATCAGTATGTTGTCTGATCTTATCAACTGCAATAGAGCAAGAATAATCTACTTTGATTCTCTTAATATTTCTACAATAGCAAATGGCATGATATAAACACTTTTCTGTCAAAAGATGATTGCTTATTTAGCATTTTCATATTAGAAGAAAACACATTTAAAACACTTTTAAGGTGATGCTAAAACTTTAGTATATTAATTAGGCTTCCTGATAAATAAGAAACATGCAAAGTAAATGAAAATTTATCTTCACATCAATATATATATTAAATAGAGCTACGATGTACAAATTAGAATTAGGGAAATGTGTTATCCAAGACTGACACATTTCTAGGGACTGCAGACACATACTGAAACTGAAAACTTTCCTCAGCCTCCAGAAACTGGCAGGTAGGAAGGAAAATCATGAATCAGAAGTAAAAGGAAGAGTGGATGAATTGCCTGCGAAACTCAGTCAGCTACCGAAGGGTCCTGGTTAGGGCTGTGTGGGGTCATTCTTCCTAAGCCTGATCAAGTATTCCCCCAAAAAGAAATAGTTTCTTATCTATAGGTTAGGAGAAGAGGAAACATAAATGTCAAGTCTTTTCAAGTCCATTGCAGTCTTGTGTTTGTAAGGTGCTCAGGCAATACTCCATATGCCACCTTACAGATCATGTTTTTTTTTTTCTTTCCTTTATGAGTAACTTGGCTCAACAACTACACTAAGCTTTAGAACGGTGAAAATGTGTCTTGTAGCCAAATCTTGTTCTCTGGGAGAGAAGACCACAGGCAGAAAGGCTCCAGTTTATGAAAGTGCTATATTTTAAATGTTCCCTTGAATATAGTTTAGTATTTGGAATTTATTCTTATAGAAGCCATGCTATAAATTAGATTCATTCCAGTTGCAAGTTTTCAGAATTTTTGCATTACTTTAATTGCAACTGGCTACTACTTTTAACATTAGTTCTGAATATATCTGTGTCTTTTTGTCTTTCATTTACCTGCAGAGGTATATTATAATATAAAGTTTATAATATCAAAGTATCTTTTCTATTGTGCTAATAGACTACCATTTATAAGGACAATGATCACAGTTAACATATGTATCTATAATCTATACCTATTCCTATTTAGAATCTCAAATCAAAATTCTAGAAACACAAATATACTCAAGTCCACACCTTACCCTACTTTTCTTTGTTCTTCCTTAGCAGTAGCAGTCCATTAGCAGAATGAGAGAGATACTACAAACTTCATACCACATTGAACTCTAAAACCATGTGAAAATAACATTATCAAACATCTCTTCATAGGTCTCAATCCTCTGGATTCTAGCTTGCTAGATCCAAAATGGTATTTTATTTGGCCCATGTGTAAGATTTTAAAAAATTATCTACTGGCTAACATTTAAAATTGGACAGATCTTACATACAAATCTTGATGTCTGTCTTCTCTTAATAAATTGGAAGATGGAGAAGACCAAATCCTTGTTTTAAGTGGCCTTTAACAATTCAGTGGTCTTTAACGGTTACTGAACTGCTGTTGTGCTTTTTGATAGGTGTGCCCCTCCTCAGGTTGCTATTGTTCCTCTGATCCTTCTCATCCTACAGTGGGATATTCCCTGCATTTAAATTAACAGATTGATCTCAGGATACATTTGATTCCTCACCTCCCAATTCTATTTGTTGTGAATTGGGAAACAAATAGTGATTCCCTTCAAAGAATTAGGAGATTCTAGCCTCACAGTTCTGTCCTCCCACTCACAGGCATAGGCTATTTCACAGACCAGGAATGTAAGTGCTTACAAGGTCTTAAACCGCCTAACAATATACATGCAGGAAAAACTCAGAACAACATTATTTACTAAACTTGTAAACAAATGAGGAAATTGCTGTAGAAACTGATACACACTAGCCAGTCATGGTGGCTCATGCCTGTAATCCAGCTACTCCAGAGAACCCCAGCCTGAACCAACAGAGAGAGACCTTGTCTCTCTATATTTTTTAAATATTAAATAATAAAGAAATGAACACACTGAACTCTTGGTTAGAGAAATAAAGACAGAGATAATTAAAAAGTCTATTTTCCTGAATATCTGAGATTCTGATTTCTATACTTTGATCTACTTTACTTTTTAGTAATGGCCATTCTGACTGGTGTGAGATGGTATATCATTGTAGTTTTGATTTACATTTCTCTAACAATCAGTGATGTTGACCTTTTTTTCATGTTTGCTGGTCACATGAATGTCTTCTTTTTGGAATTGTCTATTCATTTCCTTTGCCCACTTTTTAATGGTTTTTGACTTGTAAATTTGTTTGAGTTCCTTGTAAATTCTCTATATTAGACCTTTGTCAGAAGGTAGATGGCAAAAACATTCTCCCACTTTGTTGGTTGTCTGTTTGAGCTGATAGTTTATTTTGCTGTGCAGAACCTCATTAGTTTAATTAGATCCCATTTATCAATTATTGCTTCTGTTGCAATTGCTTTTGGCAATTTCATCATAAAATCTTTGTCCATGCCTATGTCCTGAATGGTATTGCCTAGATTTTCTTCTAGGATTTTTTATAGTTTTGGGTTTTACATTTAAGTCTTTCATCCATCTTATTTTTTGTATAGGGTATGAGGAAGGGGTTCAGTTTCAATTTTCTACAAATGGATAGCAAGTTTTCCCAGCACCATTTATTAAATAGGGAATCCTTTCACCATTGCTTGTTTTTGTCAGGTTTGTTGAACATCAGATGGTTGTATATGTGTGCTCTTATTTCTGAGTTCTCTCTTCTGCTCCATTGGTCTATGTGTTTGTTTTTGTACCAGTACCATGCTGTTTTGGTTATTGTACTCTTACAGTATAGTCTGAAGTTGGGTAGCATAATGCCCTGGTGCCACCAGCTCTGTTCTTTTTGCTTAGGATTGTCTTGGCTATATGGGCTCTTTTTTTATTCCATGTGAATTTTTAAAATAGTTATTTCTAATTGGCTGAAGAATGTCAATGGTAGTTTAATGGGAATAGCATTGAATCTATGAATTACTTTGGGCAGTATGGCCATTTTAACAATATTGATTCTTCCTATATATAAGCATGTAATATTTTTCCTTATGTTTGTATTCCTCTCTGGTGTACTTGAGCAGTGGTTTGTAGTTCTTTTTGAAGAGGTTCTTCACATCCCTTGTTACCTGTATTCCTAGGTATTTTACTCTTTTTGTAGCAATTGTGAATGGGAGTTCATTCATGATTTGGCTTTGCTTGCCTCCTATTGTTGGTGTATAGGAATGCTTGAGACCTCTGCACACTGATTTTGTATTCTGAGACTTTGCTAAAGTTGCTTATCAGCTTAAGAAGCTGTTGGGTGAAGAAGATGGGATTTTCTAGATATAATATCATGTCATCTGCAAACAAAGACAATTTGACTCCCTGTCTTCCTATTTGAATGCCCTTTATTAACTTTTCTTGCCCAGTTGTCCTGGTCAGAACTTCCAATGCTTTGCTAAATAAGAGTGGTAAGGGAGGGCATCATTGTCCTGTGCAAGTCTTCAAGAGAAATGCTTGCAGGTTTTGCCTATTCAGTATGATATTGGTTGTGAGTTTGTCATAAATGGCTCTCATTATTTTGAGTCATGTTCTTTCAATACATAGTTTATGGAGTTTGTACATGAATTTTATCAAGGGCATTTTCTGCATCTATGAAAAAAATATGGAATACTTCACAAACTTGCATATCATCCTTGTGCAGGGGCCACGCTAATCTTCTCTGTATCATTCCAATTTTAGAATATGTGCTTCCCAAGTGAGCACTTATCCTGACTTTTTTTTTGAGAGTTTTTATCATGAGGGATGTTGAATTTTCTCACATGCTTTCTAAGCATCAATTGAAATGACCATAGGAGTTTTTTTCTTCATTCTGTTAATATGATATATCACATTAATTGAGTTGTGTATGTTGAAACATCTTTGCATTCCTGGAATAAATACCATTTGGTAATGACAAATGATCTTTCAAATGTATTATTGCTTTCAGTTTGCTCGTATTCTGTTGAAGGCTTTTTCATCGATGTTCATCAGATATATTAGCCTTTAGTTTTCTTTCATTGATATGCCTTTTCATGGTTTTTATATCAGTGTAAGATTGGCCTCAATGAGTTTGGAAGTATTTCCTCCTTCTCTATTTTTCACAGTAGTTTGAATTAGATTGATATTAGTTCTTCAAAAGTTTGGTAAACATTCAGCAGGTAAGCCAGTAGTTGCTGTGCTTTTCTATGCTGGAATTGGTTTTATTATGACTCTGATCTCATCACTTGTTCTTAGTCTGTTCAGGTTTTGAATGACTTCCTCATTCAATCTTGGCAAGTTGTATGTACCTAGGAATATGTCCATTTCTTCTAGATTTTTCCAATTAATTGGCATATTGTTGCTTATACTTGTCTCACAATTCTTTGACTCTCTGTGATATCAGTTGTAATGTCTCTGTTTTCATCTCTAATTCTACTTTTTTAGGACTTTTCTAGTATGTTCTTACTTGGGTTAAAGATTTGTTAATTCATTGTTCCAAAAAATCAACTTTGTGGTTTATATTTCTGTTCTGTTTCATTGATCTCTGCTCTGATCTTTATTATTGCTTTCCTTCACTAATTCTGAACTTTGTTTGCACTTGCTTTCTTGGTTATCTAAAGTTTTTCTACTATTTTGATGTAGATGCTTATTGCTGTAAACGTTCCTCTTAGCACTGCTTTCACTGTATTCGATAGGTTTGGGGGATGTTCTGTTTTCACTATCATTTTTCTAAAAAAAATCTCCATTTCCTTCTTAACTTCTTCTTCAACCCATTGGTCATTCTGGAACACATTGTTTAATTTCCATTGTTTGCTTAGTTTCCAAAGTTCATCTTGTTATTAATTTATATTTTTATTTCATTGTGGTCAGAGAAGACACTTATAAAGTTTTTTAAATTTTTTAGTTTAAGACTTGTTTTTTGGGGATAACACATATCTACCACTGAGAATGATTCATGTGCTAAGGAAAAGAATCTATTCTTCAGCCGCTAGATAAATTGTGCTGTAAAAACATATTAGGTCCATTTGGTCTATAGAGAAAATTAAGTTGGATGTTTCTTTGATTTTCTGTCCAGATGATCTGTCCAATGCTAAAAGTGGGACACTGAACTCTTTAGCTACTATTATGGTGGGTTCTATATCTTTCTTTAGCTTTCTTTATCTAACGATATTTGCTTTATATATCTGGATGCTCCAGTATTGGCTATATACATATTTATAATTGTTATATTCATATATGTCATTGTATAGTCACTTTCTTTGTCTCATAGTTTTTGTATTTCTTGATATAAGTATAGCTACTCTTGTTCTTTTTGGTTTCCATTGATGTAAGATATCTTTTTCCATCTCATTATTCTCAGTCTATGTGTGAAGTGTGTTTCTCATAAGCAGCAACTTATTAGGCCTTTTTTTTTTATTTAGCAACTCTGTGTCTTTTGATTAGAGAGTTTAATCTATTTATATCAAATGTTATTAATAAGTAAGGACTTCCTTCTGCCTTTTTGTTATTTGTTTTCTGGTTGCTTTGTGTTTTTCCCTTGCTTCCTTGTTTTTATGAAGGTGATTTTCTTTGGTGGCGTGTTTTAATTTCTTGATTTATGTGTTTCTGTATAGGTTTGTTGATTTGAGGTTACCATAAGGCTTGCATATGACCTACTATTTTAAACTGATGACAACTAAACACTGACTGCATAAACAAATAAAAAACCAGTAAAAACTCTACCCTCTAACTCCATACCCCTGCTTTTTAACTTTTGTTATTTCTATTTACATGTTATACTAAGTCTTGAAAAGTTCTTGTGTTTATTATTTTTGATTGGTTCATCTTTTGTCTTCCTACTCAAGAAATGAGTAGCTTATATACCATAATTACAGTGCTGCTATATTCTGTTTTTCTGTGAACTTACTATTACCAGTGAGTTTTGTACCTTGAGATAATTTCTTCCTGTTCATTAATGTTCTTTTCTTTCAGATTGAAATACACTGTTTAGCATTTCTTATAGGATGAATCTGGTGTCTATAAAATCCTTCAGCTTTTCTTTGTCTAGGAAAGTCTTTATTTTTACTTCATGTTTGAAGAATATCTTCACCAGATATACAATTAAAGGGTAAAAGTTTTTTGTTGTTGTTTTTGTTGTTGTTTTTGTTTTTTCTTTCCCCTTCAGCACTTTAAATATGTCATGCCACTATCTCCTGGCCAGTAAGGTTTCCATGGAGAAGTGTGCTACCAGACATATTGGAGCTTCATTGTATGTTATTTGGTGCCTTTCTCATGCTGCTTTTAGGATCCTTTTTTTCATCCTTGACTTTTGGGCGTTTGATTATTTAATGTCTTGAGTAATCTTATTTGGATTAAATCTACTTGGCTATTACCGGTGCTCACTCAAAGTCCAAGGGCTCTTCAGACAGCTTTTGGTAAATGCTGCCAGGCCTGTGTCTCTCCCTTGAGGGTAGTGGCTACCTCAGTCACTGTCACAGAATTGTCCAGAAATGCCACCCAGGAGTTAAGGCCTGGAGTCAGGGACTCCAAGGCACTGCTTGTTTCTCTACCCTGCTGTGACTGAATTGGTACCCAGGCTGCAAGACAAAGTCTCCTTTGCACTTCACTCTCCTTTCCTGAAGTAGGAATCTCTCCCTGTTCTCACCACAGATGGGAACATGCCAGGTCACACCTAAAACCAGTACGGCACTGGGTCTCAGCCATTGCCTATGGCAGGGACTGCCTGGCTGCCACTAATGTTTATTTAAGACCAAGGGCTCTTTATCCAGCAGGTAATGAATCCTTCCAGAACTAGGTTCTTCCCTTGAAGGCAGCAAGTTCTCTTCTGGCACAGGGTGTGTCAAGAAATGTCATTTGGGAGACGGCTTGGAATGAGGCCTCAGAACTCTGCCTGGTGTCCTATTCTACTTTGGCTGAGCTGGTAACCAAGTTACAAGACAAAGTCCCCACTTTACTCTCTTCTCTAGAAGAAAAAAATGAGTCTCTTCTGATGCTATGAGATGCAGTCCCTGGGGTTGGGACAGGGATGACAAAAGTACTCCCTTAGTGCCCTGGCTGGTGTTTCACTATGTCATGTGCACTCCAAGTCCACTGACTCTGAGCCCAGCACAGCACCAGGAGTTGCCCAGAAATTGCCATCTTTCTGGCTTAGACTGCCTTTCAAGTTTATTTAAGACCAGAGTCCTTTGCTTTAAAAAATTTAATTTTTAATTTAAAAAATTTATTTATTTGGTATAAATGGGGTCTCACTATGTTCCCAGGGTTGGTCTCAAACTCCTGGGATCAAGAAATCCTCCAGTCTTGGCATCCCAAAGTCCAGAGTGCTTTAACCCATGGTGGTAGAGCTAGCTAGAACTCAAGTTTTGACCACTGGGATAGGCAATTTTTATCTAGCTAGGGCTGGTTTAAATGCTTCCTCTAAGAGCACAGGCTGAACTCTGGCCCATGTTGTTTTCCATTGTGATGAGTAGCACTGAGTTCCAACGCAAAGTTCCACAACAGCTGCACTCTCCCTTCCATAACACACAGTTTCTCTCTTGAAACCACGCAGCCACTGCCAGTGGTTGATGTTCAGTGTCATTAATTCAAGACTGTCTTTTCTACCCTCTTATTTGCCTCTTTCCTTGATATGATATTTAAACCAGGTATGGTCATCTCTCACCTGATTTTTGGTTCTTTGAAGGAGTTTTCTCATGTGATTAGTTGTTCAATTGGTATTCCTGTGAGAAAGACTATTACTGGAGGATTCTATCTGGCCATTTTGTTCTACCTCCCTCATTAGCATTAATCTTAAGCAGACTGTTTAAAAATAAGACACATATAATAATTCTTTTATTTTTTTTAATTTTTTATTGGATTTTAGGTTTTGGGGTACATGAGCAGAGCATGCAAGACAGTTGCGTAGGAACACACATGGCAGTGTGCTTTTCTTTCCTTCTCCCCTTCACCCACATTTGGCATTTCTCCCCAGGCTATACCGCCCCACCTCCCCCTCCCACTGGCCCTCCCCTTTTCCCCCCAATAGACCCCAGTGTTTAGTACTCCCCTTTCTGTGTCCATGTGTTCTCATTTTTCATCACCCGCCTATGAGTGAGAATATGCGGTGTTTCATCTTCTGTTCTTGTGTCAGTTTGCTGACGATGACGTTCTCCAGATTCATCCATGTCCCTACAAACGACACAAACTCATCATTTCTGATTGCTGCATAATATTCCATGGTGTATATGTGCCACATTTTTCCAATCCAGTCTATTATCAATGGGCATTTGGGTTGATTCCAGGTCTTTGCTATTGTAAACAGTGCTGCAATGAACATTCGTGTACATGTGTCCTTATAGTAGAACGATTTATAGTCTTTTGGATATATACCCAGTAATGGGATTGCTGGGTCAAATGGAATTTCTATTTCTAAGGCCTTGAGGAATCACCACACTGTCTACCACAATGGTTGAAGTAATTTACACTCCCACCAACAGTGTAAAAGTGTTCCTTTTTCTCCACATCCTCTCCAGCATCTGTTGTCTCCAGATTTTTTAATGATCGCCATTCTAACTGGTGTGAGATGGTATCTCAATGTGGTTTTGATTTGCATCTCTCTGATGACCAGTGACGATGAGCATTTTTTCATATGATTGTTGGCCTCATATATGTCTTCTTTCGTAAAGTGTCTGTTCATATCCTTTGCCCACTTTTGAATGGGCTTGTTTGTTTTTTTCCTGTAAATCCGTTTGAGTTCTTTGTAAATT